GTAAAATGATTGGCTAGAATCTAAAGTGTATCACAGCTCAGGAAAAAAAGCACCGAAATGTGCGCTGCTTTTCGGTCTGGTTACTACCGTTTATGTCAGAACCGGTGCCCATCCCTAGTGTTAATGTAGATGACGGTGCTCGGTCTCTGGAGCAGATTAAACTCTGACCGTTGTCTTACGCATACTTGGACGTATCTGCTGTCCTCCCACAAACAAAGACATGTCATCGTGCATGATGATGGGAGGGGGATTAAGAGTGCATTCCCAGATTGCTTTGATCGGACGAGCTTTTTGTGTCAACACCCAGCACCACAAACATGCCGCTTGGCGAGGAATCGTTGTTCCTCCATCACAAAGCGAATGGCGCCTTCCTACAGCTTCTGCTCCAGGCCGTCGAGCTTCACATTTCATCGGGATAACTGGAGAAGGCGAACAGTTAGCCAAACAGTTAGCTTAAGATTTCATGTTAAACACATCACCAAGCCATTTCAAAACCCCGCAGAGATAATAGAGATAATGAGAACTTAATTTAGCATCGAACTTGAAACGTTTAAAAGACATTTATAGAAGCTGTCGACCGCGTGTGATGCATCAGTGTCTGTTTTCTCCTTCGTCTCTTTTAGTTTCTTCCTGTTTGGCTTCCTTTGTTTTTATTTACTGCAATTGTTCTCTTCCCTCCTTTGATATTTGTCTGATTTTCTGTGTCATCGTTTTCCTTGTTGTATAGAAAATAGACTTCTTTTCCTGTCTTCCTTCTCTCTTCCCAAATGGTCACAGCAGATGGCCCCGCCCCTCCCAGAGCCGGGTTCTGTCGGAGGTTTCTTCCTGCTAAAAAGGAGTTTTTCCTTCCCACTGTCGCCAAAGTGCTTGCTCATCATATGGTTGTTGGGTCTACCTTACAATCTAAAGCATCTTGAGGCGACTGTTGTTGTGATTTGGGGCTGTATAAATAAAATTAAATTGAGTTGAATAGACTGATTAAAGTCTTGTGTGCTTGTCTGGCTGTGATTGAGTGCACTCAAGAACGTTAAACACAAACTTGACAATTTCCTTTTGATTTCATGGACATTCAGGTCATAAATTATA